GTAGTTTTTCCCACAAAACAAGCAAAATGTTCTAAAAACGTTATCATTGACGATCGTTCTTAAAACAGCTTTATAAAGGTACATCTGATAGCCTTTCCCTCCTTAAAAGGATGCACATTATTCTGACTATAACTATTATGTCTGTAGGTTATTTCATTCCTGACAATTAAAAAATTTTAAAATGAATGGCGCACATATGATTTAATAAATCCTTTGAACCGTTTTATTTAAATTTAAATATTATTAGACTTATTTCGATTAAAGTCCGTTTTGAATATTTCGGAATTCTTCTTTCAATAAGTACTAAAATTTGTACTCATCTTACAGGCTTTATTTTTCGAATTCTCCACTTGCTTTTTGTTGTATTAATAAATTTTTGAAATTGTAGGCTCATAAAAATATAAGAAACCCTTTAGATTTGATAATGAAAACACCCACTATATTCTCCCCTGAGTTTATTCGGATTCCCAGCCAAGTCCAGTGACTTTTTAGACATTGGAGCGGTCGGTTTCTTATTAAAAGTCTCTTGTTGTGATCCTAGTCGGACTAACCTTTTCACCCGGCCCTTCGGCCGCCCTAACAATTAGAGCACTAACAAATGCAATTATGCAGACACCTCCCTCCACTGAGCAGAATTTCTTCACCCCTTGCGGCACACAATTACTCTCATTGGCAACAATTGCAGATGAACCCGACTGGCGAAGGCACCAGTCCTTCAGGTCCTTTCCCAGCCAGCAAACCGAAATTCGAAAGGAAAAAATGGGAAATACGTGCGAAGGGATAAAATCAGAGCTAGAGGAGAGTGCAAAACAGCAAAGGCAAAAGTTCTACGAACGCGTGCCACATATTAAATTACATCGAACACACGATGATTTGTCGAGGGGCAGTTTGTAATTTGCTGGCATTTTTCGATTTCAGGCAGGCAGCGGTGGGTGCGGAAGTGGTTCAGAAGCACCGCTGATATTTTGATACATTTGTTGAATTCTACAGTCATGTAGTGTGCTATTTAATTGAATTTATCTCGCGTAATTGTCGAAAATTTCACTGCCCTGCTAAACAGTACATAATGAGGGATTGTTTCCGAGACCAGATTTCCGGATAAGGCACTCTACGGGGGCGTCACCGGACAATTTCGGAACGTATTTCCTATTTAAATGCATCCAAACTGCCACTTTTTTGCTCTCTGATTATGGCTTGGCAAAGAGCATTATAAATAAGGCATAATTAGATTGCTTCGAGATTGGGAACATTCTTAATCTGATTTAGTTATATTTTAAGATATTTGTATTAATATATATTATATTTCATATTTAAAGGAGATACCATCCTTTAAGGATACTTGTACTTGTATTTCAATGCATACCAGTAAGGAAACTAACATTGTAATGTCGAAATTATCCAGTTTGCATTTATATTTAAAATCAAACCGGGAATTGATCAAAACTATTCGCATCTTTATCGATATTTTTATATGAACATTTATTCGACAAATACCCATAACTAAGCCAAAAAGCATTCATTTTAATTCGGAAAGTTTTTATATGTTAGTTTTTATTAGGTTAATAAATCTGCTGATTAAGAATATATATGATTTAAGGTGTCGAAAATGACTCAATTACTGCTTCTGTCTAAAATTATTATACTCTGCAAGGGTATACAAAATCTTTAAGTATTTACTACCCAGTTAAGGAGACTTTTGTAGCTGGTGATCCTGCTTAAGGATGTAACTACTTGAGCATCCCCTTTCAACTTTACCCCATAAACAAAGGACCTGTAGGAACATAGAGGTTCATTTTGCTTGCTTCAAAAGTTAATTTACCGAGAATCAAACTTAAAGGCGGAAAAGGATCTAAGGAGCTACATACAGAGTCCCCATTCTGAGGCCGAGCACGACCCTCAGCCCTGTGCAACCTGATCGGTGGCACACTTCAGCTTTGATTTCAGGGAATTATGCTAACAAAAAACAAGGGACGTTGTCGACAATACAAAAGGATTTGCCAGACAACTGACACAAAATGTTGTAATTGCCCAAGGATGAGGAAGCTCCGTCGGTCTTAACCGCAAAGTGGATGGGCGATTTCTTGCCCGTGATGTAGCTACATTTTTATTATTATAAAAATTAGGCTTAGCTCAACTGACGGGACACGTGCAACAATGGACACATAAGCTCAGGCAAATTAAGAGGCCTAATGATTGAAAAAAAATATGATCAGCTTCGTCCATGGGAATAAGTATATCTTCATGAATCATTTGAGATAAGGGGAGCAATCAATAGGTGATTCTAAAAAGAAGCGTTTACATAGACGCCCTTTTGCACGTTCATGTCAACAGGATAACAATGGATGACAACGGAGACATGCTAAAGTGGATGGAGGAGGTTTTGCCCCAACAGGAATGACAAGTTAAGGGCTTTCATTCAGGTGAGACAAGCTAAGAATTGTTCATCTCTTAAGCTGGAAGCACCCATTTCAAATTTGCGCTCAATTTATTTAGTAATTAAATTCTAATGAGACCTTAGAATGCATTTTCTTGCAGAGGGTATATAAAGTACACTTTTCTCAAAAAGGGTATGACTGAAAAACAGGATACACCTTGAAATAATCACACAATATTAATATTGTTTAGGTCGGTTTAGCTTAAATGAATGCCGTGTTTTATATTGTTTTCCTATACATTTACCGATTTTTAAGCTTATTAATGTTTCATTCCCTGAAATAACCCTGTTATCTATGTTAACTTATTAAATAGAAAAATTTCAATTCATTTTTTAAATAAGCTTTTTCATTTTTTATTCATGTGGTATAATGTGGCTTATAAAATTATGTGATATTATACTAGATTCCATTTTATAGCATGATTGCATTGAGTTTATATGTAAGAAATACAATTTTGACTTTATATAATTATTATTGCAAGCGTCGTTTAAATGTTTATCTTTTTGTTGCCTTTTAGTTGGATCAGTTACAATGTAATGCAATTGTTTATAAGTACATATCCTTTATTTTTCCATTTATCAAAATATATATTATGTGCTATCTTAAGTTTTAAAGCTTTTATTTAGTTACAATATTACCATTCTGTTAATCTCCGTTATACTTTTATTGTGTAACATTTTCTTCAGTTGTTTGTTTTATAGATACCTATTATTTGTTTTTGGCTAATTATTTCTATCGATTTTAAACATATAAAAAGTGTGACATCTGTAATTGAGATTCCACTTTTGTCTAGCGACTTTTAGTTTTTATACCATTAAGAGAATATTCCTATATTGGTCACAAGTAAAGTATATGAATCTATCTATATACGATCAAAAAGATCAAGTGAGACCGATGTTCCTCGCTCGGATTAAAATCGACCGATTTGAATATTACCCGGTCGATTTTGTTTACACCTTTGCAGTCCAATATCATTTTAGAAAGAATATTTCCGATATGAAGTATATTCTTAACCAACACCAATAGATGAGTAAATCCATACTGTCGATTCAATAAATTCTATTAGTTGATAATTTACGCAAAATAAGGCGTATACATAAATATTTGCTTTGTATGTGCCAAAAACTATTTTAAAATGCTACGCCCCAGTTAGTCCCAAAAGGAGATGGCTACATCGACTCATCCGTTGATGCTGATCCAGAATGAATACTTCATAAAAAAGTGCCACCCTTTCGAATTTGCAAACTAGTGACTAAATTAAGTTACTTCTAATGCAAACATCTCATAGTATTAGGAGACATGAATATTCTGCAGCTTCATCAAATGTTATATTCAAAGTTCTGTTTCATTAAATAAAAATAATAAGAGAAAGTCAATAAAGTAATATTAACTCTAGTACCCCTGTTCCTTTAAAGTTTGCCCTGCAATCGATTCGTTTGATTTCAGCAAAGGTATAGTATTCCTAAAAAGGAGCTGTGTTAAAACTGTTAAATTTGCTATTTAAAGAGTTAATCGAAGGGAGAAAATACGAAATGGCGTCGATTCTAATGTAATCTTAATCCCTTTAGTTGTCAAATCCGATGGAACATGCATATTTAATAGTAATATTTTTGACAATTTAATTTTGTAGGGAAAAACAATATGCTAATACGATTCTTTGTATGTTTGTCTACTAGTGCTACTCGACAAAAATAAGAATGAAAAGGTTTGCATATGTGCTCTTAAAAAATAAATAATGGTTCTTAGTAAATACAAACATTTCAGGCATAAGCAAAAGCTGCTACAAATAAAAACAAAATAAAAAAACAAAAGAATAAATATAATGAAAATGTTGAGTTTTTATTTATAAATACATTTAAGAAATTCAGACCCTTTAATATTCTTACTCAGATTAAGACTTTAGTATGGAGCTTAAAGTTAGATTTAACTCGTATATAAGTCTAAATATGAATAAGAGTAATTTTGCTCAATCTCTCAGCTACAAAAATTTTAGTTTGGTAAACTTTTTATTAGTTTCAGGTGTATTTTTCTAGAGAACGGTTACCAGCTTGATTTACCGGCATTATTGTATATTTAAAGACAACCATACTTTTAGTGTACACCTTTCATTCAGTTAATATAAATGCATTTTTTCTTTTGTTTAGATTAGGATTTATGTCGGTTAACCGAAAGGTACTGAAAACAAATATTGTTTTCCTTTTTGCCAAACAAATCCGGTTAAGGTGTGTTATGTCAACAATTCCCCTAATCGCGTTCACAGATTTTGTCAAAATATATATTTCAGCAAAGTTCTCTCAATTTCAAAATAATAACGCTTCTGAATAAACCAATTTTTAAATAATGTTTAAATATTGTGGTGACAATGCAATTGAGTTTATTGTTTTTAAAAATATATATAAATTATTCGTATAGTAAAATACCTTATTACAATTCACTTTGTTCTGTATTTGTCAATGATCTTATATTAATTAGGAAATATGTAATTTTCGATACAATTGCGTCAGAGTTTAGTCGCAGAAACAAAGATTAAAATATTCGAGACGTAACGCACAAAACAAACCAGAATTAAATTCAAACATGTCGAGTTGGAGTTTTATTCTTCCAAGATTAATCGAATGAAACTTAACACCTATGTAAAAATAAATGTCTAAAATGCATGAACAATTAGCAAGCCTAGAATCGAGGGGCTCGTCGGTCTTTTAGTTAAACTCGCCTCCTCATGCTTCTTCCAAATAAAATTGCATTTTGCAAATTATTTTGGGTTTAGAATTATTTTTAGTATCATTAATATCATCATTATTATTACTGCTGTTAAAATCAAGCACGGCGTTATAATTTCTGAATGTCTTTGGAGCCGATTGCGCCGGATATATGAAGAACTATATCGATAGCTTCAGTTAGTTGCTTAAGTAAATGTTTAAAAACTAAATAAAATATATATAGGCTTGTTTTATAAGCAAATATAACGCTCCTGCTCCAGAGCACTGTGATTATATGTAGCGGTCTTATTGTTTCGATGTAATTAGTTGCTAAAGTTGCCTTAGACGCCTATTGGTTTTGTGAACGAGATTCGAACATCGCTGTCACGTCGCGTATTGAAAATTGTGGTGAGATCCTTTCTCTGTTGCTGCAAGCAAGTAACGTGATTAATTTCCAAAGCATCAGATGGATAAAATATGTATCTGTACTTACTTGGTACCGCCGGGACTGCTCTCAGCCATGGAGTTTCGCTGCAGTCGCTCGCGGGGCAACGCGGGGTGTCCACGCTGCTCGAACTTATTCGATGGCGCTTGCTTGGCAGTGCTGCCAAAGTTCTTCGCCGTCGTCTTTACACTTAGCATCGATGTAGCGGTCACTCCACCATTGCTGCTGGTATCACAATTTTGATTTTTCTCGTCGGAAATGCGGCGCATCCGCTGCTGTCCCAACTCCTGTCCGTTACCCTGGTGCAAGGTATTCTCGGACCCACCACCAGCTACGCGAGTCATCGGCTTCAGATTCATGTCCATATCATTTTGCAAGGCACTCATGTCGCCGCGGGACTTGGATTTGATGCGAAGGGACTCTGTCACCGGCTGACAGTTGCCATCCTCCGCATTTAGTTCAGTTCGCGAGCGAGATTTCAGTGTATCGCCATAATATTTTTGCGTCAACTGGAGGCGACGTTCCTCCTTGATCTTGTCGATGCGTTCGCGATCCAGAATGACTCCAGTGAGCACGCTCTTGCGGCCAGCAGGTGGCAGGAACTGCTGCTGTTGTTCCTTGGGCCCATTATTTAGCTGGATTAGAGAGATGCGATTCTCTGTAGTCGGTGTTATCTCCTCCGGTTCAATTCCTCGCTTCTGACAAATCTCCTCTGTGATGCTCATGCCTGGCAACCGCTTCGGGGGGTTTAGCATTTTTGGACGCGTAAAGTCGAAGCTCTTGCGACGGCTGTTGACAGTGTCGGACATCGGAGTCTCTGGAAGCAGCTTTCCTGAAATGGATAGATCCTGTAGATGCTTGCCGCCAAACTCACGAACAAAGGCGTTCTCATCCAGCGAACGGGTAATCTTCTGCTGGGCATTGCTATTCAGTTTCTTGAGAGGAACCGGTGCGGGGGGCATCGCCTTGGGAACACTTAGTTCATTAGGCTTCTTCATAGAGCCGCCACGCACAGAGAAATCAAAGCTGGGTAGTTGCTCCACAGGAGAGCTCTCAAATTTATTGGCCAACTCTTTAACGCTGAACGACGGTGACTTGCTGCAAGGCGTCAGCTCTAGTTCGTGCTCGTGCTCCATATTATCCGGTAAGCTGTCCAGGCTATCGAGTTCAATTCTATCACTGCTTGACTTTTCTATGTTTTGAATATTGAATTTCATTTCCTCGCCACGTAGGTTTTCGTAAACTGTTTGGGGCTTACGCAGCTCAATGTTTTCATAGAGCAAATGGGATTGCTCTTCATCATCGACATCCGGTAAGAGCTGGTGCTGGTGCTGTTGCTGGTGGTTCTGTTCCAGTTGCAACAATTGGTGTGTCATCTCGGCTGCTTTGAAGGCCCCGCCATCCTGCGGCTGCTCCTCCTCATCTATCTGCTTGAGGCTAGTTCTCTCGTGAAGCATCTGATTCACCTCGGTGACCGAGTTACGGAATAGCTTCACCTGCTCATACACAATATTCTCGTCAAAGTTGGTCTCCAGCAGAAGTAATGGCTTCTTCTCCTTCTCCGGCGACTTGTATGTGATGCTAATGGTAGACTTGATGGGACTGGTGGCCACTGGCAGCTTGACAGTTGTCTGCTGTTCGAAATCCTCATATACCGGCGAGCTCTCATCGGTGGCCAGCAGCGAGTGCATGCTCGGGTGGCGCTGCAGGTGTTGGTAGCCAAACTCGCTGGGCGTCACCGACTGACTAGTGTTGTCTGTGAAGTTTGAAGTGTTGGGGGAAACCGCCGCCGCCTGCAGTTGCTCCTTTAGTGGCAATGTGGCAGCCCGATTCTTCTGCGGCGGCAAACGTGACTGGATAGGTTGAAGGTCAAGAGATAGCTCTCGTTTAAGAGCATGCATATCACGATGTTCCACATCTTGAAGGTTGTTGAACTGACAAAATATTTTCGTTTTATAATGTACTCGTTTTTAAGATCACATGCTATCTTACCTGTTGTCCAAGACTCTCGTGCGAGCTTCCTAGGTAACTGCTAGCTGCATCAACTCCAAGAAGTAACTGTTGCTGCTGCTGCATGTTCGATGAAACGCCCGACACACCAGACATGGCCGAAGTGACCATCAAAGGATCCATGTCGTACTGCGGAGTGTTTACAGCTGAACTGTTTTCGGAGCTTTCGGTGTCGCACAACAGAAGAGAGTACCGAGGACTGTGGGCAGGAGTGGTTGGCGTGGGGACAGACAGCTTTGTCTGAGCACAGTCATTAAGTGAAGGCTCCACTCGTGGCTTGCGTAGGGGAACGGTGTTGCTGTTAGTTCTGTAAAGAAGATTAAATAAATATTAAGTAGGGCTCATAGTTATTTCTCGTGTTATTGTTTTAGGTCTGTGTCTCTTGTCGATCGCTTTGAAAGTACAGAAGCTTTACTTACTGCATTGGTCGTGGAGAAGGTTGGGGCTCCTGCTTTTGTCCTGGCTGCGGAAAGGTGCCCTGGTAACTGAAACGCTCCTTCGCCGCCAACTGATCCTTCCGCTTGGCCGCCGACTGTACAGTTGGATAGCTATAGCGGGTCGAGGATGAGGAGGAGCAACCCGAGGTAACCATTGACGGCGGCGTTGTGGGCGATTGGGCTGCCCTTGCTGGCTTGGGCGGCGGATGAACTTCGACACTGGCGAACTGCTGCTGTGTAGTTGGCACGCTTTCAGGAGTACCGCAGTCAATAAATTGTATGTCGCAGAGCTGATCCTCCAGCTTGTAGCGCTTGCAGCAGTTCTCCGCTCCAGCTGGCTCGTGGCCACAGGAAGACACAGCTGCACTTGCACTCGCACCCACGGCTGGAGGAGGTGGTGGGGGCATGGTCCTGGCCGAGCTGGGTGAAAGTAGATTCAGACGCGGCTGCTTTTTGGGACTGGGGTTGACACTGTTCGTCTGACTGGAGAAATCTTCGGGACGAGCCCGCATTATGCGTCGGGTGGCGCAGCCCGAAGCAGGTGGCACGTTCTCCTTCCCCACACGCGGTGAACTCACCAAGGACTCGCTCTCCGAAAAGATGCGCATCTCGGGTTCTTCACGATCGAAATTTAGTCCCAACTCAGAAAGCTCACGGGACGGGCAGGTTGTCATATGGCCCCGTTGCGGCGACTGAAGTAGATCGAAGTAGGAGTCGTGTGACACGCTACGCGAATGGCCCACAGTACGCAGGCTGTCAATTGAGTTCGAACGAATGCAGAGATCCATCGGTTTCGGGTCACGTTCGTTGGTCGTTGTCTCCAGTAGCTCGATGGACTTGGGTTTATCGTGTTTCGTTAACTCCTTGCTAGCATGTGCATGTGCGGCCTTTACAAAGCTGACTCGAGACGCGGTAACCGAGTCCTTAGCTGAATCATCGCACGTTTTTTGGCCTGGATCGGGATTACCTTGGCGCTGGCCGCGCGTAAATAGCGACTTCCAGGACGTAGTCTTACTGGATTCTGGCTTGCGCTTTTGCCAGCTGGGTGGCGCCGATAGCACGGTGTGGTATTTGTCAGGAAGGCTAGATGGGCCTCCGCCCACTTCAATATAGGAGCCGATGTTTGTGGCAGCATTTCCTGCATTCCCGCTGGCCAACATGCTGATAGGCAGGGACTGCTTGAGGTCGCCACCGTCGATGCGAGAGTGCCGCTCTTGGGCCTCCTCCAAACTGATCAACTTCGCTCCGCCCGTGCTGAGGCTTTTCGGTCGCTCCACCACGACACCCAAAGATTGATCTTGCTCTCGTTGCTCGACCAGCAGACTCTCGCAATCGGTGAGCGATTCCAGACGCAGCTCTCCTCCACCCACCGCCGCGGCAGCAGTGTTCGCTACCAAGCTATGACGCGCTGGATGATCCTCCAGGGGATCGAAGATGTTATGGCAATTGCGTATCAGGTACTCAGTGACTACAGCCTGCACACCAACGCCCCGTAGAGCGGCTACGCCTCCCGACTCCAGAGCCGGTGATCGCAGAAGATTGGGGGCCCACACAATTGCCAGGTTCTTGTCCGTCATCCCAGTACGCTCGTGATGCTGCGACACCTTGTACAGGTGCTCAGCCAAATATTTTAGGGTCCTGTAAGACGAATATATTAAATTTTAATTAAATAACGTATTGAATCATTTTTAATTTATTAAGGAAATGTTGACAACATAAAAAGTAGTTGTGGATATCTTAATAATCATAGGAAATTAGATAAAGAAGAAAGATTAGAAACTTTCAGAAAATTAAATTTTAACATTCGTTGTTGTCAAGCACCTTTACAGTATCTATATACAATCGTAGTTATATATATATAACAAAAACAAAAATATATTTATCGGTCTTTATCTAAAGCTTGCTCAAATTTTGATAATGCAAAGGCAAATTGATGGAGCACTATAAAATTATTTTTTTTTTTTAAGTTTCTTGTACTTAAAGTTTCACTTGTTATATTTGTAAAGTTTTTCACGCTTACTCACCGGTAGTGAGGTGGGGGCAACTTAAGCACCGTCTCCTTCATGAGTCGCAACCGCTCGTCCGCCTCGTCGGCCTTCACCTGAATGGCCTCGACGAAATTGTCGTACAGTTGGTAAGTGCACAGAGGATTCGGAAGCTCCCGGAAATACATCTTTAGCAGCGAACTGACGGCATGGATGTCCTGCTTCATCTCTGGATTTCCTAAATCTGGCACTCGCTCCTCGTCGAAAGCACGTCGAAGTCGTTGAATGTTGGAGGTGATGCCAGAGAGTCTATAAATGCCATCAATAACGCCATAATTCTCGATAAACTCGGCACAGGAGCGGAGAACCATTGGGATGTCCTGGCCGCTGTTAAGAAGGTGTTCAGACAAGTCGCAGTTGAAAACACGCTCGCGGTAAATGCCGCTCTGCTTTAGTCGTCGTCGTGATGGTCGCGAAAGTATGAAGGAACGGAAGAAGGCTATCAACTTGCCGTGCTTCCGCAGCACCGGCTTAGTGGGCGAGGCATCCAGGTGACCAACTAGAGGAGCCGGCATAGGAAAGTTCCTTGGTACCTTGTCGCCGATGGTAGCCACACAAGATTGTGGAAAAAACCCGACTTCGTAAAGGGACTTTTGCAGATGTGACTTCTTTCCGCGCCACCAAATCGACTCCGCTGGACTGGGCATATCAATCACTGATATCATGTCGCCCACCTCAATGTTGATTTCATCGGGAGCCTGAGCCTGATAGCGACGAACACCATATGCGGCACCTACCGCCGGTGTATTGATTGTCCGTTGCGTCTCGCCATCAGCCAACGGTAGGCGTCTGCCCTTGTTGTCCAATTGCAGCCATGTCAGAATGGTGCCACAGGTCAATGAGTCTGAAGCAATCTTTGAGAAACGTTCGAGGTACTTGGCCACCGCATATTCCACATCCGATTCACTGGGCAGCTCCGCCGCCAGCTCCTCCATATTACGTAGGCCACTGATCTTACGATCGTACACACAGCGATGGAGCATTTCGTCCAGGAGCTGCATGTTCTCAAAGCTGCGCTTGATCAGGAACGCTTCGCAGCGCTGTGGGCTAACGCGAATGATGAACCAGCAGCTCTCCGGCGAGAAGCTACGCAGGGAGCTGTGTGGCAAATCGCCTCCAATTGATTGCGAGGCGATGCTGCTACCCAAATGCTCGGACTTGTCATCCAGCAACTGCACAGACAGAGGCCCCAGTTGTACGCGTTCGTAATGAAAGTGGGCACACTCCTCCAGTTTGGGAAAGCGACAGGATTTCTATAGATTAAAAGAGTCGTTAAATGGGCATACATAAAAATCATTGATTGTGGTTAGTACTCACGCTATTCAACGGCTGCACACTCATGTGTCGGCTGGGCTTCGGAGGTGGAACCACGACCTGCGTGGGCGGACTACAGCTGGACTCCGTGGAAGCGTTAGAGATTTGTGATGTGTTCATGGAAGCGAACATGTCCTGATAGTTCAGTCCAGGCAAACTATCGGCGGGGACAATCTTGAAATTCAGATGCGCACTGATCGCGGCTGCCGGAGCATCCATTTCGAACTGTAGCGGTGGAGCTTGCGAATCCTTTACAACCGTGCTGGTATGGCAAGCGGCTGCTCCTGCAGCTCCACTCTCCGCCGATGCCATTGCATGGGAATGCAGTTGGGCCGCCAAGGATGTGCTCACCCTTTCCGACATGATCTCGGAGGCTAGATCACTTTACGCCAGCAGCAACATCTGTAAAGGAAAAGCAGGAAATATTTAAATAAGACGTCTTTTTAAAACCTATTTTAATTGTATAAAATAGTAAGTGTAAGTGTTTTCACTTTTCCTAGATATTAACTCAAAGTCAGTGCCAGTGTTAAAAAATAATTCAATGAGGAAAATCAACAACTGAGAAGGCTATTAGTTTTAAATACCATTCAATTGGGGTGGTATACCTTTCAATTTTTTTTAGCCTCAGCAAAATCTAATACGTAATTAAATGGTAGCAATTATTGAAATTTATTTAAGCTAAAATAAGACATTTAAGTGGGAATTTTTATGGAAAATAATACAAATTATGGAAGGAAAATACCTGACATTTTTTACTTTTGATTAAAAGCTTGTTTTAGGTTTATTTAAATCAATGCTTTAATAGGGCAAAGATTTGTGTGCCGAGTGTAAATCAAAATTGAACAAATTGCTGCTAAATAAGTCAATTGGCTTTTTTATGTATTTAAAAGATTTAGGAAATCCACAACATTAACACAATATATGTATCACTCTCGAATGTTCCAGCTTCAGAAAAAATTACAGTGTACATTTAAATCAATGTGCAAATAGTAATATTATACATTCAGAGCCCGTTCATTACTGGGCTTTGATTTTCGTTTACTTTCTAATGGCACGCATGACCTTCTTATCAATAACCCCCATTCAATGTTGCGCCGGTAGACTATTCTACTTTCAAACTAAAGCTTCCACTCTCTCTCCATCGGATGCGAGTTCTCCTTGATCTGGAGAGGGAATAATTTAGGTCACTGGCTCAAACATGCGGCAGGATGTGGCACATTGACGCGTATTGCTAGACAAATATATACAGTACACATTTATTATGTTCAAACCAGTTGGGAAGAGCTCTCGATTTGGGATTCGAACTGAATGCAACCGGAGGAGCTCTGGACGGTCAACGTTAGATGCCTAGCGGTTCTGATTTAGAGCGACACGAAATGCAACCGGCTGCAGGCTGCAGGCTGCAGTATTTAAACTTTCATAAATTAAGCGAACAAACCGCCAGAGAGGACAGGCAACGAAACAGGGACAGGGGCACAAGACAGCAGACAGCTTTGGCCGTTGGCCGAAACGAATCGTAGAGCGGCATCCAAACGAGTTGCGTTCGGCTTCTCTAGGGGAGTCTGGAGGCCGGAGCTCGGAGCCCGGAGTACGAGATGAGGCAGTCCATCAAATGCAGCGAATACTCAGCGATACCATTAAGAAATGCTAACGCTAACGGTGTTCAAATGCAGCCAGACAAAGCGACCGGTCAACAGATATGTAAAGTGTGTATATAAACTTCGATAAAACAAAAATAAAACAAACGCCAGAGTCATGTGAAGAAAACGGAAAACAAAAGGTTAAGTTGATGCCAAAGAGTTTGTCTTGCAACCGGCTGGTACCCAACAATGAATGGAAAACGGAATTAATTATAAATGGTTATAAATTTAACCAAGACGCATATTTATCATATAATTTATTCTTTATATCAAACGATGGGAAACAGATGAAACTTAAACCATACATGATCTTCATAAATCAATAAGATTAAGCTTCTTAAGTTTACCTTCTTTTCTTTATCAAGATATAAACTTGTGCTAGTTAGCACTCATTGATCTTATCATTAGTGTTATGGAATAGCAGTTATGCAAATACCTTAAATACCAGGTAAATTTAATATTCTTATAGGTACTGTATGAAGCCTCTTATCAATGTCCTATTTATATTGAAATATTTACAAATACACAATATCCAACATATACCTTAAACAAAACCACATCAGGGTATCATATATTCAATTTTCTGGCTGGTTCATTGCACTCGGGTCAAGAGCGATCGATCTAGACATTTTCCCATCGATTTGGCCCGCTCACTTTCTCCAATCAATTAAACAACATTGTCTATATCCGTACTGAGAGAGGGAATGACCACTGGTTGGGTAAACACCTTAATCGGCTTTGCATGAGGATAACTTAATGATGTAAATAATTTAATATTGGACAATAGCTAATGATTTTTTAATGTCAGGTTGCAAGAGCTCAGTTTTCCGTTTCTTCCCGCCGTCTTCTTAAGCTTGACCTAATTGACGACTTGCAGCGAGAAATTGAAAGCTAAACATGACAATGATCTATAAAAGCCAAACTGGATTTTTTAGTGCGTGACTGGGATCCTAACTAGACATAGACATCTCTTTCCACAAGTGTATGTACGTGTGTATGCACTTATTTAATAATCGGAATAAAAGTTGTCTGTCTAGGCTGCTGTTGTTTGAGCTAATTTATGGCTCAAAGTGGGTCACTGACTTACTGGTTTCTAGAGCGAGCAATTGTCGGACATAAAAGACTTACGAGGCTGCAAATGAATGCATAATGTGCTTAAACCTAGTTGTTTTGTTCGCCAGTCAGTCGGCAAGTGCTAAACGATACCGTTGTGCATTAAAATCAGATGGATGCGCTAATGTTCAATTACATTCGCACGGGGAAATGCCAAAGAGGCTGGAACTAGGAAGAAATGCGGAAAATTTATTTTGATGTATTAGCAATTAACCAAAATAATAATACTAGTTCATAAAAATTTCTTAATGTTTCCGATCCAGGATTTCCCAGTTTACCAATATTAAAATATGTTGCTGATTTGTAGCACAGTGACTACTTAATGCATATGTACTTTACAACTTGTATAAATTAATGACATATCCATTCCTACCATACAAATGAAAGTAATTTCACCGTGGACTAATAAAAAATATGACTCACGAGTTATAATGATTCATTAAACTAGCCCACTGGCATTAGTGTTCCTATAAACTATGCCGTCTGAACAAATTGCTGCCCAAGGCTGATTAGTCAAATATATTCTTCGGGCTATCCAGCTTTATAGTTTGCTTAACACCTGAGTCTTTGGAAATCGAAGTTGAAAACTATATAATTAAAATATTTGTAAGCTTGGAAATATGTTACATTCGAATACGATGTATTTATGCAGTATTAATTACTTTAAAAAGGTTTTAAAGCTATTTTAATAAACTTGTATTATAATTTTAGTTAGAAGCTCGTAACGCTATGAAGGTGTCATTTCCTACCCTATAAATAATATATTTTCTTGATCTTGATTCTTTTAGTAAAGTGCCATATGAATAGCACTTTATGAAATTGTTTTAAGCATGAACGGAGGATTGCATACATTTTCAAATTCTCCTTTAAAATGTTTATGCCCATCTTTGATTGTTAATATTATTATAAACTATCATCAAAATGTATGTGATCTATTTGTACGGATATAAAGTATCTTCAAAACTAATTGCCCCTGAATGATTACAACCTCATTAACATACATACATATGCACATATGCATGTTTTAATGTAGGTTTCATTGCATAATTCTCTGAACGTACAGAGCTCTTACAGCAAAAGCAACTTTATGATAGTAACTCAGTAGTCACTGCCCATTAAAATCCCATTTTTAGAGCATTAAAAACAGCAGCCATCAGGTTTTGAAAAGAAAAGCTAAAGGGTAAAGAAAGAAAAGCGAAATCGTCCAATTCCATGGCCATGTAAATTTTCTACTTTATACATTTTGCAGAATTTCGCCTCCGCTCCAATGCTCGCTGTCCCAACGAACCATAAAACTTAGCCTAATGTCATTTAACGTTGTCGACAAACAGGTACCATAAACTCTCACACATACCGACGAGTTTATATTTTTAATGGAAGTGAAAGTTTTGCGCGCATCAAACGAAATATCTGCAAAACGTAAGCCAAACACATGCGGCCATATCCAAATATTTTTTTTGTTGTCTGTATAGTTGTTGTTAGAGTCGAGGCGCCGGCATGCCAAATTTTTAAAAATAAAAAAGCACAAATTTACAATAAAACCGCATTAATAAATATGTATCGTATCTGCTACTGAAAAACAAAATATACAGACAAGACTTTAAAGCTTAGAACACAGACACTAAGTGGGAAGCATTAAAGCAATAAATTTAGAATTATTATACCGACGAAATGAGTGTATGTTAAAGTGTGACACTTCAATAAAACAAAAGGCAACAAGGCACTTGTTGAAAGCTCAAACATTATAAACAAATTAGAAACTTTTTGTTATATCCAACTACAGGCTAAACATTTAAGCATTTTAGAATTCGAGGCGTTAATCTTAGCTGCTGCGCTATCCTTTAATAGGAATTTGGTATTTCAAACCTCTATCTTTAGATATCTATTTATGCGGTAGAGTGAAAATAAAGTAGATGTATAGCAACTGGTTCGAATTGTTTGAGGTTTTATGCTTCTATAAATAACAAGTAAGAAAGCTATAGTTGAGTGTATCCAACTGTGAGATACCCGGTAATCATAGTCTTGTTCAGTAAATTGGGAGGCAATTTCGATTGTCAGGGGAAGACCCGATTAAAAAAAAAAATAAAATGTATGTAAGTACAAATATTTATATTTTATATCTATTATTCGCAGTGCACTTTTCTCAGCTCATGAGGCACACACAGCGACCACATTTCAAGCGTTTTGATGGTTTTTGTTTCATATGACTAACAACCATAACAGAAGCAATAACAAAAGCATCAGCAAGTTGTCAGTTTTAATTGAAATCAATTGAGCTCAATTATTTTATACGCATATGAAACTCAACATCAGCAGCTACAAAAAGCAAGCAAACCCAAAAATTCTTTGCATCTGTGTGGGTTTGACGTTCTCCACACACATCCACAAAAGCTGGGGCGTGTCAATCGCCAAATACAGAGTGCTAAAAACATAAAACCAAAAAGAAATGAAGCTAACATAAAAAAACCGAAGTTTAAATACCTTTTAGTTTGCAATTTTAACTAAAAGTTCCCAAAGTTTGAAAATATCTTGAGGTTTTTAAAATATTTACCTTAACAGATATTATTTATTATAGTTATATGAATTTTGATCAATTTAAAAGAAAGTTTAAGCATAAAATATATCGATTTATTTGAGTTAAAGTTATTTTTCTATTTATTTTGCAATGTCTACTTAGGCTATTATATATAACATCCTAATCAAATGTATTGATTTCATAATCTCTTTGTGTCTACTTCAAAATGCATTTCAAACTTCTGATAAAAGTGAAAATACCCTATACAAGAGTATAAATATACATATGTGAATGCTGAAAAAATGATACGCTAAAAGGAACAGCAAAAGCGTCATTTACAAGTGTAAATAGTAAAGAGCAGACAAAACTAGAGTAACCCAAAGCGTGGAATGCAAAGAATTTGTAATACTGAGGACGAGGGTATCTATTATTCAAATTGTGTTGCATACAATTCTATTAAACAAGGAAGATGGGAAGAGCTCTATTTATTCGTGCTTACTACGAAACTCCAGAGTTGTGGCGCCACAACGACGGAGAAATGATAGAAAAAACGCCTGCTCGGAATACAGAAACTAAATACCAGATATTCTGTTTCATTAGGCGACTTATAATGGCCTATGGACAACTTCTACACTGAACATAACTGGATATGTGCCTTTTCGAATACTCTGACTAGTTCTGACCACGAAATGTAGTGTCCATATGATATATGGGTCCGATTATTACTTTGTTTTTTGAAAACATACTATTTAAGACTAAATTGTTATTGGTTGATTGCTCTAAAGATATATACGGTATCTGGTAGTCGAGACAATATAACATTGTACTGTTCTAGGTTTTAAAGATTTCTGAAAAGGTATTCAAGTATAATACGATAGTGGCCAGGCTGACATAGTGCGGGAAAAAAGTTCCCTCTCACGGCAATATCGGTGCGTTGGCCAAGGAGTTACTGTGTGAGTTTGCCGCCCGTTTGAGCGGATGTTTGAGTTGAGTGCACAGTTACCGAGGCGCAACGAAATTAATCGAACTCAAATCGGGCTCTAGCTGGGGCAGCACGGTTATGCTCTTGCACATAGCCTTATGGAAAAGCAACAAACGAACATAGAGTAGATGTATCTGGAAAACTTGACACGTTTTCTGCAACAGGCGGACGCAGCGCATTCAACTGTGCTCTCGTCATTCGAAATGTGGCATAATCGTGCGCAGTCGCGGCGCGAATCTTTTCCAACAACGTGAGCCACATAATAACCATAGTAGTTACTGTACATACGTACATATGTACGGCTACTTTATTACATACAAACATAACTATACAAATCTCATAATAATAACAACGAGAAAGCTGACCAGGACCATGAAAATGAGTCAGCTTGGAGCCGAAAATGCTCACTCATAGTTAATAGAGTACAAATAAAAATAAAAATAATCTCTCTTGTGATACTTGTTTATACAGTGTATCCCATAGTCGATGCACTCGAAGTCTTTCATGCACCTGTTTTTCTAATTCTTTTACACCTACCTCCCACACTAGAAAAAATTAGACACTGCAAAACAAAGTGACAAAACATTGTATAAATTTTATACCAAATAAAAGTTGAAACATTTATATAACAAGTTTTAATATAAACTGAATAAAAACAAGCTAGTTGCTTTCGGATCGTTTCTAGTACAAAATGAACAATGACTAATGTTACAATAATGCCAGATTGGGTAGATAGTAGCTAAATTATTGGAGCTAGACCAATAGGGGAAGGCAGGTGGGCGTGACAGCACATTATAAACCAGCTTTACTTGTGGAACTTGTACAACAAACCCTATCGGCCACCTGCAGTAGTCCTAAAGATCTTATTAGGCCTGTAAGGGAACAGGCTAAATCGGATATATCGCATTTCCATTTCATTATTTCCTTTTACCAAAACGATCCGTATTTGCTTTTCACCTCTCTTTAGCACAAAATTCCTTTAGCCAAATCTCCTTTCACAAAACTCTACTTTATAAAACCGTAAATGTGGACGGTAAACGAAGAAATTGAAAGGCCAGGAGTGCGCTTTTTTGGAAAGTAACAGAGCAAGTCAAATTCCAGCCAGTAGGCGGCAGGGAGAGCGGGTTAGGGATTCGGGCCTTCGAGGAGAGAGCTACGAAGAGAGACTGGCGAGAGTTCAATGTCAACTGTGTGGACAACGGCACGAAAACTTTTAAAGCCGCTTCCGCTTGAAAAAATACACAAAACTGGATGTGTGTAAGCCCGCAACTAAAGCATGACCACACCTAAACATTAAAACAAGTAAGGAAAAATACATATTTCCTTTCAGTTTTGTGTGTTTTTTTTTTTGCGACATAAACGACAAACCGTTTACAGTGGTGGCAAAAATTATAGGTTTTACGTTTTGTAATTATTAACAACAGGGAAAATATAATAAAAGATTAAAAATGTTTTGTTTATATTACTACTTATGGGATTTAATTTGTAAAATGAAACCTTCAATGCTCATTACAAGAACCTCAATTTGATACAGGAAATAGTGGGAATACAATGCAATGAAAGTAAACAAGTATTTTAAACTCTGTTATAACAGCTATTGTACAAAAAACTTAACCATTGAAGGGTTGCAGTGTCAGAAAAACAAAAGCGACTGTAAAGGAACGAAACGCTTCTGTATGGTCGTTTCCCAAAATCCATTACTACTATATTGACTGCAGCTGTACGTGGAGAGGCAGCAATGCCAATGGGGTGGAATGTGTTAAGGAAAATAGAAACGCAGACAGACAGGCAGGCGGACATATGGCGGAGTTGTCTCAGGTGAGACTGTGTGTGTGCGAGCTACCACAGGGTGACAAAATCCAGTGTGAAACGGACATATCGCACTTATTTTCGTGCTCCATTGTGAGCTGTAGTGCTCTTGTAGAGTCTTTCACATACCAACTATTCCAATAGCCGGAGCGGTCATAGTGCGTGGGCCAGACAGAGAGGCAGATAGAGAACCAAGCAACTTCCTTGGCAAAAAACGGGGCGTTGTTGTTGGCAATTCGCTGTTATTCGGCACAGAACGCGTCTTGAATGATGATGGGAAAATTATAAAACAATGGCACGACACAATTAAAAGACCGCAAAGACGCCAAACTGTTTTCAGAAGCAGCAGCAGCCGCGGGAGCTATTATTTATTATTTTTGTCGCTGCCTCGGCTGTCGCACAATACACTGACACACATTTTTAAATAGAGACGAGATACTTTTCCTCATCTGCTGCTTCTTTTCAGCTTATCTTGTTTCTTTTGCTCGGCACGCACGTACACGGTCACACACACACACACCCGCACGCACGCACACTCGTAAAGCTATGTAATCCAGCGAAAAGCGAATATTTTGGCATTCGTACACACCTTATTAGTGAAATAGATCACTGGCACTCGACACTCATTAGTATTACATTTTTCACTGCACAATTAACTGGCTTCCACGGGCTTTACAACGACAACAAATGTGCGGGATGGCAAATAGAGGTGCAAAAACATCGATGACATCGATGCATCGATGTTTCTGAACAATCGATGTTTTTCCGTTCATCGATGTTTCTGGGCCGTCACTATCGGCAGAAAAAGCAAAGAAAGGTTGCGTTTAGCAGAACAACATGATCACTGATCAGTGATGGATTTATATCGATAGTTCTGCTAAATGCTCTAATATATATTATAAAAAACTGGGCAAATAATCGATAGTGGAAGACATCGTGCGGCTTAGCTGGAAATAGTGTGACCGCGTCGGTTGTTGTAATATACCAAATTGCCTTCGCAGAAAACTATCGATACTAGTATTAATTTTGCCGCCCAAAAACGCCGTTGTGCCTATTTTTCTGGAGACAATAAGAGTTTTTATAAAATGCCACACTGCGGCAAACTTACAAATAAAATAACTTAATTTCGTATGAATCCTTTAACTAACATGAAAAATGTGCTCAAATTGAGCGAGCACGAGCTACACCATGGCGGCAAGAAGAGCTGGCACGACATGTACCGGGATTCAGCCTGGATATTTGTCGCTGGATTTCCGTACACTCTTTCGGAGGGAGACTTGATCTGCGTTTTCTCGCAGTACGGTGAGGTCGTCAATATAAACCTTGTCCGAGACTCCAAGACGGGCAAGTCCAAGGTCAGATAAATACCCTAAATTAACCGAGTCCCATTCTAACTAGGTATGTTGTTCTGCATTACTTCAGGGCTTTTGCTTCCTGTGCTATGAAGACCAAAGATCCACTGTTCTGGCCGTCGACAATCTCAACGGTATCAAGATAATTGACAGAACGCTGCGCGTGGATCATGTAGCGGACTACAAACCGCCGAAGGAAAACGAAAAAATGGACGAGGAGACTCTTCGACTTTATATGGAGGGATGTGCGCCGAAGCCGCAGCTTCCACAGGTAAAAACTGAGAAATCTAAAGAAAGAAAGTCATACAAATGATTTTTACAAGTCTTCTTTAGTCTCAGTTAAGAAATAGGCTAATATAATAAAAGCTGCAAATAATATTACCTTAAATGCAGCGGAACCCAAAAAAACCGATTTTGTTTTAAGATATATAATTTTCATAATAACATAGGGCTAGGATGGAAATCTGCATTCACTTTTAGTGTTACGATTAGAAAAATCTATAATTTTCATTCATCATCTGCACTTGCAAATGATTCACTACCATCATTATCATCATCCTCATCATGTTGATCTTCCAACTCCCTAAGAATACGCCTTTTATATCGCTCATAGGCACTACCTCTCTCCCGGTTGCATTATAAAAGTCCACATCGTCCACAAAGCTGTCGGCTTCAGTGTCAACGGTATGAATATAGGGATCGTGATAGGTGGCATAGTCCTCATCTTCGCTGGAGTCGGCAGGATCGTCCTCGTCGTCATCTGAAAGTTCATATGCATTGAAAATCCAATACCTAATAGTCTTCTTTATTTCGGAAGCTTACCCAACATGAATTTGTTCATCTGCCTACATAGATCATCGTCTAAACCCATGGCCGCCTCCTCATCGTCCGGGTAATCGTTTGTGTAGTAGTTCTCCTGATTAGAGTCCTCCGAATCATAATCTTCGTCCTGATCGTTGTAACAATCCTCTAGCACAATTTCTCCCACAGGAATCACTCTGCGGAATAGGAGAATAGTAAAGTTTATTTGTGAAGCTCTTGGTCGGTTGGCACTTTGAAATTGAAACACAACTACATAGGTTCGTCATGTATATATTAGTCGATTTCTTTATTCAATTTATTTTCATTTTCGGGAAGCAAAAGACCTCAACAATCTTACTGTAATTTTTTTTACGAAAACAAAAAAGAGAGAACTAAAGACTGACAGAAATGAAACGAAATAAGAAGAATAGGAGTAAACTCTCTTAGAATATGCATGATGTGTGTGTGAGTGTGTGCTTGGGTATCTCTATCGTTCTACTTTAATAGCTAATTAACTTAATAAACTTAGGAATATGGTGTCACAAATATTGCAATTACCAAAACAGATGTTTTAAAATATTCTACTTGAAAACTTTGGCACGCCGAACAATAGTGGTACATTTTGATATTGCTAAAAACTTGCAACTTTTATGATAAATTATTGAAATTTAAAATGATGAAATCTATTATCAAACTTTTTCTTTGTTGCAAAACATTTTTTACACATATTAGAAAAGGCGTTTGCACCAATTACTTAAAATTACAACATTTTCTGCATCTGTTTAATGCGACTAAATTAAGGAATCATTTTGCATTCTTGGATTTGTTAGCGCCATTGAATTATCATTAAAGTAACTCATATAATTGGCGGCATTTGTCTAAAACTCATAATTAGTATGATTTGTTAGGTAAAGTGAGTTGCCAGTTTGGAGTCCTTATTGTCGTTGATGGATTGTTTGTTCAGAGGCATCATCACACATCGTTCTTTCCCGGGCTCAGTACCACTCTCTTTCTCTCCCTCGTTCTCCCCTCTCACTTTTGTCTATAGTTGATGTGTGCTGTGCTTACCAGTAGCAGTTGTTGTAGTAATTAAACGGATAATGTAACCTTATGGAGAACGAATCATATTATTGGGCAATAAACATTTAATTATAATTAGGTCTAGATGATAAGGGTAAAATGCATATGAGACTTCGACCGAGTACTATGAACAAGGACACAAGCACACCCACAAAGATACGGTAGCCACGACGACACACAGTAATCGATCGGCTACATATAGTAATTGAGAAGGCTAAACGTTTGCTCTGGCTCAATGTGTATGACGAACCTTAGATAGTTGTCGTCCATCATATCCACATAGGCGGCCTGCATCTCGTTCTCTGGCACGTAAAGATCGTAAACATAGCCAATATCAGAGTCAGCTGGTTGTTGATCTAGGGTTGCGTCTGAATCTCGATGCTGTTCCTCCTGGTTTGCAGAACTCCCTGTTTCGGATCGTTGCAGTTGTGGGGATTGGGATTCGATGTCCACAATGGTAATCTGATTTTTACTGGGCTGGGATTCTTGATTTTGACCTTCTGGGGTATCTATTGCCGTGGCCTCATCCTCAAAGGTACTGCGAAGGCAGTTGACCACTCGGAATCTTTCCTCTCGAGCATTTTCCTGCGCCTTCTGACGCTGACGCTCCCGACGCAATGCGGTTGCAATAGTGGCATCAGTAGATCGTTGCCTTTGGACCAACTCTTGGGCACTGGCTTTATTCAGTCTGGCCGCAGCAAATTGTCGAGTGGCGCAGTCGTCCTGCAAATAGAATGAAAGTGAAATGTTTGGGTTATTTTATTTTCTATATATTTTAGTTAATTAAGAGTACAGTTAAATGAAAACCTCTTCGAATTTTTCAAGCCGACATTTGTAAGGCTATACAAGATTCGACTTTGCGAAAAAGAGTTTCGTTAATTTAGCTTGGTTCTTAGTCTTGACACTGAATAGCAAGTTCGTTGCCCCTTGTTTGTGCTGTAAATTTAATGGAATACTTTTACAGAAAAACTACATAATGCATATGTATGTACATATGTATGTATGTACAAAGAAAACATGTTCACATATGTAGTTCAACACTGAATGCTCAAATCATGGGCAAAGCTAACATTGCCTGTTTGGGCGTTCCCCATCCTCGTTTATTCCCGAACCCTACCTGCTTCTCGAGCGTGCCGGCAAACTTGAGCACGGTGGTCAACTCGTCCTTGTCCGATTCCGGCTCTACGGACGCCGCTGCTCCCGCCTCGTCCACGGCGTTCTCATCGTTGTGAAGGCGTCGCCGCTTGCCATTTAACACAAAGGCCGTGTGTGGTTCTTCGTCGATGCGTCGCTTTATACGCACAACCGCAGGCATTTTAGTTCTGAATTTTGTTGTCGGCAAATCTGTGAAACAATTCAGACTATAATCCGATTTCCTCAGTCGTACATTAACGCGCAGTGTGACTGTGGTGAGCGTGCCAATAAATACCGTCGTATAAAGACACATAATACGATAGGTGGTGCGGGTCACTCAAATTTTAGGAAAAATATACCCTGTTTTTACTAGGGACAGCATTTTATTGCAACATTTTCAAAATTTAGCTGCAAATAAATTTTGAATTTTAGAATTTAAAGTTTAACCACTATTGTTTGAGGTAAACTCTTCCGTTAGAAAAGAAACATTTAAAACAAATGTTCCAAATGTTTTAAATCTTAAAATATGGAATAACCGAAACGGTCTCCTACTCAATGACTACGTTAAAGATGAAAAAAATTGTTCACATTTTGAATGAGCTTAAATAATTTTAAATTATAGAACAAGGGATTTATATCAAACTCCAAAAAGCAATCTTGTGCATTCTCTTGAAAATTTTATTTAATTAAAAAAAAAAATAATTATTAGAAAATAATAGAATTAACTTTTTATATAGTACATAAAAAAAAAAAAATAATAATAATTTGAAAATTTTTGTACTTCATATAAATATTGATTAAATCATTTAATATCAAATCCTTTTAATAAAAAAACGAATAATAACTTGAAAGTTTTTGTGGTTCATATAAATATAGATTGAATCTTTAAATATCAAATTTCTTTTCAATTCATAAATTCATAAATTAAATAAACAATTTAAATTATATATTTTTAATATATTACTATTAATTTTTTTTAATAATAGTAATTTCAGTATTTCTTTCTTTCAAAAGTTTTTTTCTGAATGTTTTTTGTTGAAAATATTTAATCAAAATGATTTACAAAATTCAACCCTAATTATATTTTCCTCCTTCTATGTTACTTTGTTACACATTACTTAGAGCCCAAATCATGAATTGTTTTAAAATTTTTTGCCATTCATTATTGAGCATAATTTTTTAGAAAATAGTAATTAAAATTTTTTTTTTAGAAAATCGCTAATCTTAAAGAAGGGCCTTTGATTTGAATATATTTTATTTCTCCAAAGAATATGTTCTCCACTACGATATAACCTTTTCGAACTCATCGTTTTACTCTATAGAGTTTAAAAATTCAAGCAAATGTTGATTACTATTTTAAAATTAAGTAAGTTATTTAAAAAAAAGGCCAGAGGCTCATTAATTGTATCTTTCGCATGAGTTTGACACTTGACGCAAAGAAAAAAGTCAGTGAAAGCCGCGCCAATTTGGAAACGAATTCCACCCCCATTTCCGGTGCCTGTGCCTTGTACCCCAAAAACAGCTGATCGAAATACACCACCGGCCAAGAGAAAGCTTGACGAAATAACAGTTATTGCTCTTTACCGGCGGAGTCTGGTTGTATTTGCGGGTGGTTTGCTGGGCCCGAGGATTTCAACAAATACCGCGCAGGATTTACGTCCTTAAAGCCAAGTGTGTACTGTGCTGTGGTGCTGCCGGTGCTCTGTGTTTTTTGTAATCAGCGGTACAAGTGTTTAAATGATAAAGTGCGAATCAGATTGAATAAAAGCCCTAAATGGTGCGGTTAAATGCCGTCATAACATCACACATGGGCATGTGTGTATCCGTTCCGCGTTTTGTCCGTGCAATTTGCTTTCGTTGCAAAGCCAAATAATTCAATGCCAAAAACTCGTATCAGCGGATGCCTCAATTATCGTTTAATTGGCACTTAATGGCTTACACACGCATATCGTAAATATGGATAAAGGATTAGCAGCAGGTTCGGAGGTATATTGTAAAAACGGTGGGTATTGTTTGTTGATGCTGGAAAAGAAGAGAGAGTAATTGAAAAGGTTTAATTGTGTTTATGAGATGAGTACCTCAACTTAGCTACATTGTAGGAATTTGCACTACGAAGACGTGCTTCGAAACTACTTGATGTTGTTTTTTAATTGTCTAAAGTATTATTATATAAATTAATAGTATTATCTAGGAAAGGTCTTTTCACTTGTTTCCAGTTATCAGCTCAACGTTCTTGATTAATTTTCATTCAAAATTTTTGTTTTCAAGGGTGAAACATCTACTCAGAAAATTAAATGTTATTGTTATTTTATATTTCTTCAAATTTTAGAACAGGAATCATCAGAAAGATGCCTGATAATGACACAGTATTAAACACAGTAAGAGTTCGTATTATTCTCCATTCAAAAATACAATCCTAATAATCAAAATTATCTAGATTAACGACTACTATTATCACATAGAAATGTTTAAGAATTACGTTTAAAAAAAAAAGCTGTACGCTTTATATCAAATATTTAATTTACCAAAGCACCTGCTTTGTGTGCTCTTCGCGCTTTGTTCATCTGCAGGCGGAAACCGTAGTGCCTATAAAAATATTTACGACTAAATATTACAGCCTCTGACCTGGCCCCTTTGACCCGGAGAGACTATCCAAACATATGTCTGAGCTCCCCGGGGCTGCCTGTTTTATTTATGTGGCGGGCGTCAAAAAATTTGCCAGCGCATGAATCATCTGCCACCTCCAAAAAGCCCCTGTCCTTTTCCATCCTCCATGAGCCACCGTGTGTAATATGAGCCTGCTCACGTGCATTGGAATGGCTGGAGGAGAGGAGCTCCTGATGCGTTTGGCATAATAATGAAATAATAATGTCGCCTTTTGTTCGGCTGGAGGTGTCTCAATGTCTCCGGCAATAAATTAATGGGATCCGCACATATAAACATGAAAAGCACCCTGCAGGTTGTGTTTTTCTCAATTTTGATTATGTGACACGCAGTTTTTTCCCGGTGGCAGGGCTTCTTGTCTACTTTAAGGGAGTAAAGGAAAGTTCTTCTCAGTTAGGGGGAGGTTGTACTTAGTACAACTTTGTCAGCTGTTGCCGCACATCTTGGCAAAAACTAAATTACCATAAAGACGCTAGAATGTTTGTCCTAAGACACGGTACGATAAGCCAAAGGATCTTCTGATAAAATGCTAATCATAACAACAATGTTGCCTTCCTTTGCCGCATCCGAGTTTGGAGATTTTCTTATGCTCTTTTCGGTGGTTGTTGGGTGCGCAAAAAAAATCCCGAACAACTTTTGCACTTTCGCTTAACACAAGTTTTTTATTTTTAATACCCCCTACAGGAAAGGTATAGGGGTATAAAATGATAGAAATTGCTTTCAGTTTCCTTAAATTTGAATATAAAATATTAAGGAAAATTTTGCTAATCTAAAAGATGTTTTTATGTTTAACATTTGTTTTGGAAAGTGATGATTTTCTACTTAAAAAATAAATGTTATCTGAATCAACTGAACCAACCAGATTTTTATCACAAGCTTATACATTCGTAAATAATATAAGATTAAACCTTTAAACTGAATTCATAAGGTGACAATAAATGGTATCTTCTAACAGCACTTTAAGGATAAACTCTAAATAAATCCCACTTTATCCTAAACTTAATGCAATGCATAAAAATTTTCAATTCAACATAAAAACCTATATATATGTATATAATTAAGTACCAGGTATCTCGTAGTCGGAGCACTTATCCTTAGGATTCCTTCTGTTTTTTGTTGGGTCGGCTAAACACCTTCGGGCATCTGCTTGGGTCGAGTGTCTCTTTGTGGCTTTGACGGCCTTTGTTTTTGGTTTTCTGAAAATCATCATCATCATCATATATCCTTGTTAAGTTGCCTAGGGGGTTGATTTTTGGTCATAAGTTATTATAATTCATTTTACTTGGGACCAGTTGTTCGAATAATTAACTCAATGGTATCTTCATCATATTGAAGATGAAAATGGGGACTGACACTCAAAATGTATAATGATTAATATATAATATACTCTAAAAACAAAGTTATCCTTTATTTGTGAAAACATTCAAATTGATTAAAATGTCTGATTCACTACCAAATATTTGGGAAAAAAAACCAAAAATTGCAAGTATTAAAAATTTACAAGCTCAATTATTCATTAAAGTCAATGACTGTGCTGTGCGATTGGAAAAACTCGATGGCCTCCTTATTGGGATAGCTCCCCTTGCACAGCCGCCAATTACAAGAGCAAATATAAATCTGCCACCACCCACAATAAGGGCCCGGAGCTTCCTGCTCGATAATACAGTCGTTGCACCCTTCGACACAAATCACATTAAATTTGCTCGTGCTCATTACGGACGAGCTGCCCATCCAGCTTGGCTGGTGCCGGACGCACTTTCCACTTTCACTCCGCCTTTTCAACCCCGTTGGTGCAGCAGCGATGGAGATGGAACCCCTGTTGCCATCAAACCCGGGCGCTCTAATATCATTTTGCAATTTGCACTTGGCAAATAAAGGAGTGAATGCTGTGGCAGATAAAACGATTCTCTCCTTTGTTCTGGCCCCGGGCCACAAATGTTCCCGGCCAACGCAACGCTACTCGTAGCCGTTCACATTTCAGTGGATATAAGCTTTAGATCTGGTTCCCAGAAAAACGCACATGACACACATGGATAAATAAATTATCACCTATTTAAGGGGCACAGAGATAAAATTGAACTTATAGAAATTTTTTCAATTGTTACTATTTTTGATTCTGAAGTAACAAAAGAAAGTAATTGTATATTAAGAATTTTTAGTTAAAGATTATCTCAATTTCAAGTTATTTTTCTTCTAAATTTATAGATAAACATTTCCGAAAGTTTGCCAGGATATTTAGGCAAACACTTTCACTTAGATATATTTTTAATAATTTCACAGAGCTGCTATTTGGAAATTATAACGAGGGGGCTTAGCAAATGTACGCTATCTTTTTGAGACAATCTAATGCTTTTCATTTATACTGTACTATATCCTCCATTAATCTTATTTGTTATCAAATTTATCTTTTTGTTGTTTTTACGCTTTAATTTCATAGTATTCATTAATTTTTTGTTTGAGCACAATATTTATATAATAATGAAATAATTTATGAGGGTACAAGTACGTTCGTTACGT